GGGGGGGGGGGGGGGGGGGGGGGGGGGGGGGGGGGGGGGGGTGTTAAGTGACTGTTTACCGAGTGCTACTATTCAAAAAGGGGACTTCAGTTTGAGAAGCTGCAGCTCGAGTGTCTTTGTGCATTTATTCAGGCCTGTAAACGCACTCATAAAGCTTTGTTAGCATTTTCTGGTGGGCTAAATGAGGTCTCAAACTGCTTGTGCAGGTAATGTAGTGCGTGCTTGGCCACTGATGCTTCTAACAACAACTTCAGGTTAAAAAACAAATGTGACTAATTCTTGGAAATGTACGTGTGTCAACAACCCACCAGCGGAAGAAAGAAACAAAATTAGGACACACATTTGTTCATGGGGTCAATAATACACCCCCCCCCCCCCCCCCATGCCACTAGGGGGCAGCCACTCAGAATAGTGGATTTCACCTAAAATGTGATATTTTTTTTTAAATTGAAGGACAAGTGGCTACAAATTAATGCAATCATTTTATTTTAAAAAACAAACATGAATATGACATTGTGATGCGTTACAATTCAATTTAAATATCAAGCTACTTTCGAGACAATTGCTCCTTTTGTTACTTTAAATACAAATACACCTGCTCCAAAAACAAGTTTAAAAATACTTCTTAAAAAAGAGATAGAGACAAACACGGTATTTTCATGACAGCTTTTCAAAACCTAATTTCTCCAAACCAAATCCAAATTTTTATTACCATCAAAGAAACCTTTTCCTCATGTAAAGAGCTCATTTCCATAATTAATACTTTCAATACTTAAATGTTGGTGCCAACAACTTCTGAGTTTTTACTTGCAGAGTCAGTTCAAACTAATAAAACTAAAACATGACACACACACACACACACACACACACACACACACACACACACACAGAAGAAACCGAAGCCATAAGAAAAATGATTTACATTTCAATGACCGAGTCTCTGTACCTTTAAATCACTACAATGGAATGAACATGTCACTTAAGGCATATGCTGCTATCTCTCCAACACCCATTGAAAAGTCTTCAATTATCTTAAACAATTTAACAACATACTTTAAAAACAGTACATCAATTAAAACCAGGCCTAGCATCCTGTTGCACAGGGCAGACCCAGACTAAAGTAAACAGCAGGTACTTACTGGGTTTAACTGACCTTTTCATGCCAGCTGAGTGGGTTTTAAGGCTGATATGGATGGGCTATAAACAACAAAAACAAATACAAAGCAGTAAGTGATATGCACAGAGGAAACACTTGTGCCACTCTAAATACCGACAAGAACTTCTTGCCACCGAGTCTTTTGATCCCCGTGTGCACTAACGACTCAGATTTGTGCACCTCCCGTCAACGTATATATCTGTAACGGATAACTCAGAGATTGCTCTCTACAGCAATCTGCCACACAGGATCATTGCGGTTGACGATTATGAACATTTAGATTAGATAAGGATGGACATAACCCAAAACCACCCAGCAATACAAACCAGCACTGCAGTAAATAACAATCTAGCAAAAGGAGTTTCAGGTGTTAAATCGACTCTTGTGCCGCAGTTTGAAGTTCTGTTGAGAAATATACTGTTAGCTATGTGTTTGTGAGGGGTTCCTTGCAATCTTTTTTTTCAACTTGAAACTTTGACTTTCTACACTCTTGCAGGAAAGGACGCACAAGTAATTCAGGGAGTAGCTGCTTTAAGTCACAACTACAGACCCGAGTTATCATTCAGCAGTTTGTGTCTGCATCTTACCACCACCTTTTGAGTTTTACCAACCCAAGTCATCTAAACGGGGATAAACCAAAGAACTGGGTCACCACTGACTTGCTTCACAACATTGGAACTTAACACAGAGCTACTGTATTGTTGGGTTTGTTGCTTTGCTTGCCCCCCTGTAGCGGGGACACGACTATGAGATATGACAAGCTAACATTATAGCATTCATGCATGTCTGAGTATATGAATCAGGAGTGACATTTAGCTTCTCCTGCACTCTGGTTGAGTGTATCTACAAGTATTACTTAATCTGAAGTTATGTCCGTCATTATCATGAGGTAACATGCAGTATTTAGAACCAAAAGTTGGCCAACATCGTAGCTTTGGGCTGGTGGTACACGAGATTTGAGCAAACTAAATCTCTTATGTTTCTGACCTCATGGAAGAGCATTTTCTTCTGTACTTCAATATCCAGTCTGTTACGATGCAACAAGGTGGACTCTTACAAAAGATCGATGATGGCAAACTTGGTTTTTAAATACCCGATGAAGTCCTGTCGTTAAAAAGAGGAAAGAGATAAGCGCACCGGTACAAACCTTCGTCACTCACCTCCACGCACGTCAGGACAAACCAGCATTGAATTTCAAGATGAATTTTATTACAACAGATTCATAAAACATTACAAAGGATGCATACAGGTACCCTCTTGACCAGGACATATTAAAAGCAAACCTGAAACAAGGATAAAGCTAGAGAATGATGAGTCGTGAATTTTTAACACTACTTAAGTTGGAATCATTTTCATCACTGAGACCCTCACCAACCAAGGTTGGGGACGCAAGTCCAACAGCACCTAAGCATGCTGTGAGGGCCTCAATCAATCTACCGAAAAGAAAAACAAACAAAAGAAAAAGAATCAAATGTTTACAAGAGAAACTTGCCTTAGTAAGGGGGGGTTGGTACGCTCATGTAACTCCAGCAGCTTCAAAAGAAATATGAATCATTTTAACACACTTTACTTCTATAAACCTGAGAGAAACCTATGGGGGGGGGGGAAATATATATCCTCACATGAAACCAGATGACAACAAAATAGCTTTCAGGAACTCGTGTGGTGGTTTGGCTGTTTTCCAATAAAGATGTTACATTAAATGTCCATTAGTTCTAACAAATAATGTTTTGTCTTCACCACCACTGGTCTCACTGCTCTTTGCTCGCAGCTAGGTTTGACAAAAGCACAAGGATGAGAGAAAGGTGTTAACCTCAAACCTAATGTGGTGGCTGCTTTGCCCGCTTCAGTAGCGCCCAGCCGGAGACATGACGGGCGGCCTCATGCCCATGGGCGGGCCTCCCTGGTAAGGGGGCACCATAGGAAGACCCTGCCCGTATGGAGGCATCCCTCCAGGCATGTAGCTCGGCATGCCCTGAGGAGGAGCACCGTACTGACCTGCTGGGGGGAACACAAGGAAAGCGACATGTGATTCAACAGTGGATTTCAATTAAACTGCAGCTTATGTCAATTGATTGGGATGCAAACCTTTCTGTTTTAAACAAGTAAATAAATCGCAACTTGATTTAGCATGGACTTGCAAAAAGAACATTTTCCTAACGAGCACTTTCTTACCGTGCATGGGATGCCTCATGCCAGGCTGCTGTAGTGGCATGCCTTGCTGTGGGGGCATTATGCCGCCCACAGCCGCCACAGGGGGAGCAGCGATATGGGCCTGACCCTGCCTGGGTGTGAGTCGCTGGTAGCGGGGCAACTGGGCCCTCAATTCCTCCTGTTGGCAGGGACAACACACAAAGCACACATTCAGACTGAGGAAAATCTAGTATGCCCCTTACAGTACAAAGATAAACACTCACAAAAATGACGAGGAATTGGGTACCAATGTTGCCGTGCCCTGATTTCACACTGAGGATATTCAAGCTCAGAACAATCCTTTAACATAACCACAAAAGAGCAACTACTGAGGACGTGTAAGGAAATACAATCGTGGCAAATATCCCATAACTATCTTTACGATGATGATGATATTCAGAACCTGACTGGTGGTGAAACAGTGCACCCACCCTTTCATCCATCCATGTACTCTTATACGTATCAGTCATTACTTACTGTGAAAAGGGCAAAGTAGAAAGCTCAAGCAACTTACCAGTGAGATATCCTCATCAGGATGGATCAACTTACTAGTTGCACTCGTGGTGGTGAGGGTGGCGGGTTTGGTGGCCACTGTGGCCGGGGGTTTGGCCACAGTGCTGCTAGAGGGGTTAGAAGAGGAAGAAGTGGAAGAGCAAGAAGAGACAGAGGGCTGGGTGTAGGCAGGGAATGTTGCTTTGGGAGGGTCGGAGGAGGAGGCGGCTGCACTGTGGGAGTTTGAAGCGGCAGCTCCTGAAGTGCTCTGCTGGGCCTGCAAACAGACAGAGAATCAGGTCACTGACTGGTCCTCCAAGGGACCGCGTTCTTACTTTTTAAAGATGAAAAGAAAACGACACAAGACACAGAAGTCCTCCATGGATTATACCTTTGTCACAATCATTACGTGACGGATTTTGAGACATAGAACCTCCCCTGACTTTCAAAAGTTTACACTTTCAAGTGGATTGCAAATGTGGCATGACATAAGTTAAATCCCTTTGTATCCAGTACACAATACAAATCCTGAGATATAAGTAGAACCAAATCGTGTGGGGGGAAAAGAAACTTGACGTGTTATGCATTGCTGCAGCGTTCAATGTCAAAGCGCGATGAGTAGCTCTTGCAGGAATCATGCTTCAGAGGTTAGGGGGGGTAAATGCAAAATAAGATCCATTAAATCCAGTGTTGCGCCTCATTCTGCGTTAATTAAAGCACATGCACAGCAATAAAGCTCACAGACAAAAAGCAGGGCAGGTGTTGTCGGGGATAATTATCCTCCGACAACATTATAGCCAACGTGCTCGTTTTTGACGCACAGGGCGATTACCTTTAACAATCAGCCTAGTTTACAGCTTGAGAATTTACAGGCAGAGTTCATAAAGAAGCAACATGCAGCTGCCACAGCCAAGTCAAAGTCTGTGAGCGTACTTGAGGCGTGTTAGGAAAGGGAGGCTGAGAGGAGGCAGACTGAAGGTCTGCAGCTGGAGAGGAAACGGCTGCTGTGCTGCTGTGAACACCAGCGCCCATCTGCAGCATGGTGGGAAGGAGATCACAGTATGTAACATGTCCACTCTATTCAAATTTAATAACGAGAACAAAATTGACTTCATAATAGTGACACTGATTTAAATTTTAAAAAAAATGGGGCGGAGAAAGGCAGAAAAAGAGGAACAGCTGACTACAGAAAATGAGGAAACGAGACATCGGAAATCCGAAGTGTTGAGAAGTAAAATAATATCCCAGAGTACTGTGATCATAAGATACTGCATAGACGGTTTAATAAAATAAAACATTGCCAACCATCCACCTTAAATCAGGAGACAGGCTTACAGACTGCTCTAAACTCTCTGAAAAGGCTGTGCGAGTGTGAGCGTGTGCTGTTGCAGGGTGGGTGGGGGGGGTGCATGGTGCCCACCTGTGCTGCACTGGGGAAAAGGGGCTTGGTGACAGCGGGCTGGGCCACTGGTACTGCCGGTCGACTGGGCATCACTCCGGCTGCAGCAGCTTGGGCCATATGGGGCATCCCTGGCCTTGGAGCCATGTGAGGTGGCATTCCTAAACAATCACCCAAACAAGGTCAATCAACCCTTCTGGCACCAGAACATTGAAGACACATTAAAAGAGAGAAAATAAGCACGCTGAGATGGAAATCATGCGTCTAATTCAGCCACACCTGCTGAACAATCTAAAAATGTAAGCAACAGGAGCTATACTTTGCTATTGTTATGATCGACCAATCTAATTTCCAGGGTTATCTTTGCTACATGGGCATAAACTATATATGTGCAAGCTGTTAGTGGTGTGGCTGCATTTATTTTAAAGTCAAAATTAGTTAGAAACTCTAAATTCTACAGACAATACTCAACTACAACTCACCGTGGGGCATACCGGGCATCCCTGGCATCATGGGAGGCATCATTCCACCCATGGGCATCATGCTGCAAAAGGCAATAAGACCAATAAGATAATGCTGATTTGGTGTTACAGAGGAAACGGAGGTGAAAATTACTCCCCCCCCTCCCCATGATTTGAATGTACACACAGCACCAGCCTCAGGCAGCAGACGGGTTACAAAACTAAAGTGTAATGAACATCAGCCTAACATAGTTGGCTAAAAAGGTATTTCCATAAGTTGTCATGTATGAAAGGACCCCAAAAGAACACTGTAAGCAGACAACTTGATTAACTTAAGTGAAGTATTTAAACAGCATTGTATAGGTATGATTCTGTTCCATGCAAGTGGTTGATCACTGTAACTACAAGCGGTTTCCACTGTGCTAGAACTACATTCAAATTAATTCTAATTTACACCACAAAGGGGATCATTTATTAACGTGGTAAAATAGCATTGAATCGAAAATGGCATCATTAAACACATCATTAAAGAGATCTTTTACCCTGGTGGCATCCCATGCATGGCAGGGGGCATGCCGTGCATCATGGGAGGAACGCCAGGCATCATGGGAGGCATTCCTGCAACAGTGAGTCAGAGGATATGTTTTGTTTAGCTCAACACTACATCACTCCAAACCTCAAATGCTTCCCTGCCGTATCTATACAGCTGCTCAGCCAGTAGCACAAAGAGACACAGCTAAGACAAATAGTGTGTAGCAGCAGCAAACTTTCATATGCAACTCTGGGATTTACAGGTTTATTTTCAACCAAAGCACCGAATGTTGAAACAGTGGACAGACCAAAAAAAGTTATATTTAATTTCTGTCGAGTTTAAAGGAAGTGGGTTTTACGATAAGTTAACCGTGAAATTAAGAGACGTAAAAGAGAGAAACTTAATTTCAGAAGGTGTAATGTTACATTTTCCTGTATGAGGAAAATATAATCCTAAAATAATATAACCCCCTAATTATTAGACATAGGACCCGGTCAAGGCTTTCTAAGTCTCATTCAAGTCTAGAGCCCTAAAAAAGCCCTTGAAATAAGTCATTAGGCATCACAAATGATACATACATACATACATACAGTTGTGTGAAAAAGTGTTTGCCCCCTTCCTGATTTCTTATTTTTTTGCATGTGTGTCACACTTAAATGTTTCAGATCATCAAACAAATTTAAATGTTAGACAAAGATAACACAAGTAAACACAAAATGCAGTTTTTAAGTGAAGGGTTTTTATTATTAAGGGGGAAAAAAAAAATCCAAACCTACATGGCCCTGTGTGAAAAAGTGATTGCCCCCCCCTGTTAAAACATAAATTAACTGTGGTTTATCAACGTAATTGAGATCTATCAGTCTGGAAAAGGTTACAAAGCCATTTCTAAAGCTTTGGGACTCCAGCGAACCACAGTGAGAGCCATTATCCACAAATGGCGAAAACATGGAACAGTGGTGAACCTTCCCAGGAGTGGCCGGCCGACCAAAATTACCCCAAGAGCGCAGCGACGACTCATCCAAGAGGTCACAAAAGACCCCAGAACAACATCCAAAGAACTGCAGGCCTCACTTGCCTCAATTAAGGTCAGTGTTCATGACTCCACCATAAGAAAGAGACTGGGCAAAAATGGCCTGCATGGCAGAGTTCCAAGACGAAAACCACTGCTGAGCAAAAAGAACATAAAGGCTCGTCTCAGTTTTGCCAGAAAACATCTTGATGATCCCCAAGACTTTTTGGAAAATACTCTGTGGACTGACGAGACAAAAGTTGAACATTTTGGAAGGTGTATGTCCCATTACATCTGGCGTAAAAGCAACACGGCATTTCAGAAAAGGAACATCATACCAACAGTAAAATATGGTGGTGGTAGTGTGATGGTCTGGGGCTGTTTTGCTGCTTCAGGACCTGGAAGACTTGCTGTGGTAAATGGAACCCTGAATTCTGCTGTCTACCAACAAATCCTGAAGGAGAATGTCCGGCCATCTGTTCGTGACCTCAAGCTGAAGCGCACTTGGGTTCTGCAGCAGGACAATGATCCAAAACACACCAGCAAGTCCACCTCTGAATGGCTTAAGAAAGACAAAATGAAGACTTTGGAGTGGCCTAGTCAAAGTCCCGACCTGAATCCGATTGAGATGCTGTGGCGTGACCTTAAAAAGGCGGTTCATGCTCGAAAACCCTCCAATGTGGCTGAATTACAACAATTCTGCAAAGATGAGTGGACCAAAATTCCTCTACAGCGCTTTAAAAGACTCATTGCCAGTTATCGCAAACGCTTGATTGCAGTTGTTGCTGCTAAGGGTGGCCCAACCAGTTATTAGGTTTAGGGGGCAATCACTTTTTCACACAGGGCCATGTAGGTTTGGATTTTTTTTTCCCCCTTAATAATAAAAACCTTCATTTAAAAACTGCATTTTGTGTTTACTTGTGTTATCTTTGTCTAATATTTAAATTTGTTTGATGATCTGAAACATTTAAGTGTGACAAACATGCAAAAAAATAAGAAATCAGGAAGGGGGCAAACATTTTTTCACACAACTGTACATACATACATACATACATACATACATACATATATATATATATATATGGTCAAATTGAGTTAGTGCTGATTCCCAACTTCTGGGTTTGACAAAGAGGTCCTTGCCTTGATATCCTCCGTGGTGCATCCCAGCTCCACCAGCCACAGGAGGCATCCCAAGCTGGGCCATTGGAGCAGCGTAGCCTGGCTGAGGCTGCTGGACAGCAGCGACCTGCTGAACCGACGGTCCTGCTTCATCATCGTCATCGTCGTCCTCATCGGAGTCGTCCTGATTGTTTGACTTCTTCTTTTGACTCTCTGAAAACCGAGAGGAAATATTTACGGTAATGGTGAAGCTTAAACAAAATGAAAATGAACCTACGGTTCTACAACAAAAACCTTGGAAGGTTGGTTAGAATCAAAAAACACAGGACATGATGTTTGTCTGTCCTTTGTGCCAAGGTGGTGAGCACTTCCAGGAAATTAACCTTGTTTTGAGTGGTTGACAATCTACAAGTGGGGGTTTTCCAGCTTGTGTGGGGTGTATCTTGGTTTGGTTTAGGTTGTAGAATTTTGGGACAGTTGGGCCCAGAACACATCATCAGTAGTTTTAAGGTAAGCACACAGCATTCAAAAACATCGTAGTTATAGAACATATATTTAGCCAAGATGGGATACCCCAGGATTACCCTCCACTACCTCTCGGGGCTCTTACCACATAAACATGCCACCCAATATCAGGAATCTCCCTTAACCTTAAATCATTCCAATACAAAACACACAAAACCAGTACAAAATCGAAGAAAACAAGTAATTCGGCCATCTAGACTTTTACTGAAATTGACAAGAAAAGCACATCAAATTGTACACACCTTGTGATTTCTGTTCTAATGTTCGTCTTCTTTCCTGCATGTCTTTCTCTGGAATCCCCTCCATACCGTAGATCTCCAGCTCGATGTCTACTCTTCCGGGAATTGCATTTGGTACACTGTCAATTGTTTCTTTGTGTACCTGAAACACATGCAAAGTGAGTCAGTGCATACTATCACAACAAGCAAAGTAATGTTTCATCCGTGGCCCACTTCATGATAACTGATAGCCCTTTATGACCAAAACATTGCAAGAACGGTGGAACCAAAGACACTTAAAGAATCAAGAACTAAAGTTAGATCAATGAAAAATGCACCTACCTGCATGCAATGGATAGCCAAGCCTGGGCCTGTGTACAACTTCTTGTGGCAAATATGGCATTTAAAATGCTTTGCCTTCTGATGCTGGATGAGGATCTTTTCATCATCGAAGTCTCGATTACAGTACCTTGAGTGAAGAGTTAAGGATTGTGTTCGAAAGAAAAACACCAAAAACACACCCGAGCCAGTGAAAGCCTCCAACACAACGTTAATGCTGCCTAAATAAAACGCCCTGATCTGAGGCGTAGTCTTAACCACCATTCATGATCAATGACCTGGCAGCAAAGATTCTAAGTGCACACAACTCGAAAACCACGAGGTTTCTGACTAATCCAGCGCAAGACGTAAGCTACATCATAACGTTAGCTGTTGCCCTGAATCACCAATACATCGCTAACAGGTTAACGTTAGCTAGCTAGCTAGCAACGGAACGGAGACAGCTCGCTGAACTTTCCTCTTAGCATAGCATGAACTCGACGTAATCTACTACTGCGTAATTATACACGATGCCAACTGTGTTTTTTGCAGTGTTAATCATAGACTGGATTAAAAAACAATCCTCAACGCGACCTACTAGCCTCCTATGACCGAATCGTTAAGCTAACGTTAGCTTACGAGCAGATAAACCCCCCGAGAGGCCAACTCAGGCCTTCCTTTTGTCAAGCTAACTCTTAGCCTCTGGCATTTCTACGATGGTATTTTGTCATCCAGGCACAAAAAGGATACCAGCACCATGGTTTCATCTGCTTCTTCTTCTTTCGTCCCATTTCTAATGAATACTGAAATAGAGGTCTTACAACGTTATATACTGGTCTTATTATCTGTTTGACAACAGCATGCTGTAGTCCCGTAACAACGCCGAAAATGGCGCTCCGCTGAAGGAAGTTGTAGGGCAGGCTACAGTCTCACGAACAGAGAAAACATACGTCATCTCATAGACACGCCCCTAGTTTTGGAATATAATGTAGCTAATGTAATACCATCATAACTTGGAAAAAAAAACTGCCATTGGAACGAGTATGTTTTTTGTTTTTTTCAAGTTTATATAGTGAGTTTAGTGACAACCTATCATGCAAATATATGGATATAGACTGGGGCCAAAGTTGTGTGACCCTAGCAGTATTTGGGTCCCCGTTCCAGCCTGTAGGACATGTCCTTCTGCATCTCCTGGGCCTTGGCTGCCTGGTCCTAGTGAATCAGTTCATCCCACAATTCCTTAAGTCCTTTCAGCAGCCCCTCCACCTTCCTCTCCAAGTGCATAAACTGGGAGTATCCAGGGTAAGCTACTTGTTGGGCAATATGTAAGTCTGAGCCACACCTGGGCTAACCGGCTCAACACCTGACAAAAAAATGTTGAAGGCAAAATAATTTAAGATGGCAGCGGAAGATGAAGGCCATTTGGCATTGTTCCAGTTCTCAGATAAGAGACTTTTACTGTGAACACGACTGAATTATCGCTGGCAAGATAAGACCATAACAATGACATATTATGTAGTTATTGTGATGGTTTGAGATAAAAGGGATCAAAGCATACATTGGGTGTATGTTCTAAAAATCCCTCCTACACCGTTCTGCTTACACAATGCACGAACGACACTGTTACCAAGAAAGCATGAATCAATTATTGTTCCTTCAATGGCAACGGCGATCCAAGACCAGATCAAATGAATAGAGAAGTAGGCCTACTATGTGCTTGCTAGTAAGATGTGTAAATTAAAGGATAGGACATACACAGAAACAAAATGTTCAAAAACACCCAGATGGAGCTGGTTGAGAGCAACGCTCTGATCAGACATCTGGGTTTCAGGCTGCTGAGAAGCAACGCTTTTTCATTCTCTCAGCTGTGATAGTCCCGAAAACAAAACATTAGGCCTATATAGCAAAAGCACCACACACTCACACACACACTTGCAGAATACCAATTCAGGTCAAGCTGAACAATTTAGACGGTTATTAAGTCCAAAAGACAAAGCAGGATAGGAAAATATGTGGGTCATTCTGTGTCATTTAGCCAAAAAGTCCAGTTTAAACTGAAGCAAAATGACACTGCTAATGAACCAGAATGGATTAACCAAACAACTGACATGATCAGCCATTTTAACTGATGGAATAGCAGTCTATCTCTGAATATATTTCTGCTGCTGTGCATACCTGTATTGCACACACACCTCTCAAAGACCACCACCAGTTCCCTTGGTCTACAATGAGTCCACTGAGGTGGGCTCATTTTCACTTTCACCCTCAGGCAGCTGACAAGCCAGAAGTGACTCCTGTGACAGCGAGAGCTGGGTCTGTGAGATAAGCTTTCGGCTGCAATCAGAATCTTTCAGATTTGACAAGGAATCTGAGGGGGCTGAAGGGGTGTTGGATCTGGTTTGTGGGCTGGAAGCAAGGCTGGAGCTGACAGTGTCAGATCTGGGGGTCAGAAGGGCTATTGGAGATCCCAGAGGTGGTGGGGGAGATGATGGACGCTCAGCTGAACCACTATCACCAGCAGGCGGCGATGGCTCTGTGAAACAATTTGTAACCAAGACTGATGGCTTATCATTGCTGCTTGGTGTGGTGGCATAAGAATCCTTCACTTCATCAAAAGTCAATAAGGTTTCTAATTTCCCTTCAAGAACTGAAGGAGAACTGTCCATCACATCATTCAAAGTGATGAGTGGGGCTACCGATGCTCCACCAGCCTCATTTGAAAGTGAAGGGATCCCGCCCTCCATGGAAACTGTATCGCTATCACAGCCAACATCAGCATCCAGCTCACCCCCCTCAACATGTTCCTGACTGCATGTTTCCGACTTTGTCGTCATGTCTTTCTGAACATCCGTCATAGTCTTGATGAGTTCACTGTCGAGCTCTGTTGTGTCTCTTGCCTGACTTTGCCTCTGCTGCATTGTTGTGAGAGATTGTTTCTTCCACTTCTACTTTAAATGTGCTGTTCTGGATAGTTAGAACCTCAACTTTAAAAAAACACAAGAGGAATATGAATTAAAGGGGAAAAAGACATACAAATAAGTGCAATAAGACAGCAAATTGCAAGTATTAGGTTGAGTAAAGATATACACTGTGCCTATCTTTATTTCTCTCAGGTTTTGTTGCACCCACACATTAACATTCTTGGTCAGCTTCTAGAGAATCTGACAAACTGGACACTGTAGGACTGAACTAACCTAACCCCAGAAGATGGCAGTAGTGCATCAATAAGGATGCAGAAGCTGGAGTAAAAACCCATAGATGAGTGGACTATGATAGTCTGTGTTATCGTTTAATCGGAAAAACGACAATGCAGAAATACCACATTTTTCTGTTTTCTGTTTTAAACCAAAAAACGGGAAAGCACAGCCGGTTTTCCGTTTTTGTTGTCCGAGTCCAAAGAAACAAAAATGAGAGAACCAGAAATTAGAAGAAAAATAAATGAATGTAAAATAAATAAGAGTGAGCATGTGTTCATGAAGCAATAAATAATGACAACAGAAAAATAAAGAGACGTTTGGTGCATTCTTATTAAACACTAAGCATCATTTACCAGCCTCATTGATTTATTTGTCACACTTAAATCCTGAATGGAATGGTTAAACAAAAGAGGTGAAAGGGCCAAGATGAGAAGAAATAATGTTGGTCAAGTACTGTGGTCCAAATAAAATGACTTCAGTTTTTTGCCATTGAGATACAGGAAGTTCGACTCTAGAATATTCTAAATTTGTTAATAATCTCACAAGACAAGAGCAAAATACAAGATGAATTGGTTCTCTTTTATTCTTTGCTATCATGTTACCTGTCTTTGGTAATAATGTACATGCTATCCAAAATGATGCACATGCTATCATGTTACCCCTCAGATTTATCTCTGGAGCTAGGCGGATGCAGACCGTCAGATTTGTTACTATTTTGAAAATAGTGATTGTGTTAATTTGAGTTCCACCTCCAAGCCAGATTTTAGGTCAGCTTCTCGAATGCACAGCGGGCCCACAGAATCAGAACAATTTTATTTCAAAGAGAAAACTATTGTTAAAGATTCCAATTCTTAGGGAAGGAGATCGAGTGTCACACTTTGACACAAATCCCGTTCACATTGCACAGGGCCAGGACCAAGAAGCTGCAGAGAGGGAATTTGCTCTGCAGTGCCCAGATGTGTGTGTACTGCTGGACAATGCTGTCAATAATCTGCCACAACTTTTTAAAGATGAACTCAAATGTCTGATTGATGTTATAACACTGATGTTTTTTTAAATTTACTCTTGCATCACTTGTAAATAGGTCAAATATAGAATGTGAAAAACAGTTATCGGTATTGTTACACAAGTGACACCATTATTAACAGTGGTATGAATAATCATTTGAAGCAATACAATTCACCTGAGCTTCTTAGTTCTTATATGTGCTGTTGGTAAGTGTAAGATTATTGGTTTAATTGACAAATGTCTTGTCGTGGTGTTTATGTTGCAGATGGGATGGGGTTATGTTTTTTACATTTTGGGGGTAGAAAGGGAAAAAAATGTTAATTTTGATGAGTATACATCTGTCACTCCGTTACCCTTGAATATAATGTGTATAGTTTTATTTGACTAAGTTTTATTTTGAAGAAGATAAACTTCATGTCGTCACAGTCTGGCATGAATTTCATTTTTAATCTGTTATGGAAAAGGCTGGACCTGTAACATCCACTGTTGATAGTCTTTGTGACGTGTGACAGTTTAGTCAAGAAAATGAAATCTACTCAAACTGAGGATGGATTCAGTCCTCTCTCCGACCACGGAAACTTCACTGATGACAATCATTGACAATCGAGTGGTGTGTTTTGGAACAGCTCTCGTACAGATCAAAATCATGTGAGCAGATTAACTGCAGATGGAATAATTAGAAGAATTGAGATACAGCAATACAAGTCAAATACAGGAATGTAACCACAATGCAATGCAATAACTAATTCTGAAGGTTTCTGCTTTTAGGGGAGTATTTAACTTGTGCTTGGCATACAGAATTAGAAAATACCAAAGATTTTCCTTCTTTGCTAATCTAGACGGGTGCAGATGTCATTGGATCATATAGAAGTAAATGTGAGCTACTGCTCTTATCTAAGGAAGGTCATGACCTGCTGATTTGTTAATGACCGACATGTAACCTGGGGAACTAAATGGCCATGTTGCTCAGTTTTACAGGATCTGCAAACTATACCCCTATACATTGTTAATTATATAATCAGAATTAGCGTAAAGTGTGTACACATAAAATGAATATTACTTATTTAAATGCACAGAGATAGACATACGGCTAAAAACAGGCAACAACGCTAAACAACAATCATTTGACGACTATAAAACATTGTGAGACATATTAGAAATGTGAGAGTATAGCTGTGCTCTCCATGTTCTTGTACAATAACTCCTAGAGGCAAATCCTACAACAGTGTTCACACACAAGCACAGTGCTAAATCATTCTTTAGACCAAATTGCTGACATTATGATGACATGATTTTGTCAGAGTTGATAAGACGCTGACAGCAGAGTTACAACAGAACAGGTTAGAGGTTGAATGATGATGACAGTGACAGTGATGATGGTGCAGTGATGATATAGCAATGTAAGGTAAAGATGGGAAGCAGAGGTGGTGCTATGACTGGGTGGTAACGGAGGCAAGGTCCACTGAAGGCTGCTTAATACGAATAAACCAAATGTCTCTTTGTTTTTCAACTGTCATTATTTATTGCCTCATGATCAACACATGCTCACTCTTCCATGTTTGGTTCTGAAATGACATAGAAATAACAAGGAAATACATGATGTATATAACTAGGTTGCAAATTACTCATCAACATCAAATATCAGATGAAACGAACTGCATTAAATACATCTGTATCAATAACCTAGATAATTCACAAAGACACAGGTAAATAGAACTAAATCTATGGTTCAAATACACTTACACTGCTATCTACTGGTAGAAATGGTAAACACGTTTACTCTGTGTCTCGTTACACGTTTTATGCTCTGCGTTCACTCAAGCAACGGAATACGGTGGAAACATAAATATCAGTGCTAACAGCAACAACTTTGCACACACAAAATGACTGATTAAACTGTACTACGAACTGTATTGCATCAAACAATGAAGCGATTAATTGAAAAGTTTATTCTCTCTGTGTACATGGATAAATGAATATTAAACCGCCTATAGTCAACTACTGTTGCTAACAGACTCCCATCGGCCCAGATTTATTTATTTGTACTCATTCATTTATTTGTTAGTCTGGTATGTGCTTGCATCATGGACTGTAAATAACATATTCTTGCATACGGTCATTCTATTGCCTTGACTTTTATTTTGAAATATATATATTTTGAAAACTTCCAGGGCACCTGGTTTGCATCTCTCTTCAAAAGAAAAAACAGCTTCTGCATCCTTATTGATGCACTACTGCCATCTTCTGGGGTTAAGCTAGTTAAGTCCTACAGTGTCCAGTTTGTCAGATTTTCTGGAAGCTGAACAAACATGTGAATGGGAGGGTGCAACGAAACCTGAGAGAAATAAAGATAGGCACGTTGTATATCTTTACTCAACTTAATACTTGCAATTTGCTGTCTTTGCAGTTATTTTTAATACTCACATGCATTGCAACTTGTCATGTTGCATGTCCGCTTGATGGCGACAACAGTGCAGAAATAGAATCTTGGTCCCGTGCCTCGACAACACGAATGAATGTTTGCCATCTGATGGGATTTTTGAAAGTTTGTGTATTTGTATTTTTGTACAAAATTACATATTGGAAAAAAAGATGCAACACCCCTGTCCACAATCTTGTTTTATGCTTTTGGTTTGGTGCTGTATAGTATAATGCCCAAGCATTGAGTACTGTTTTGGACAAAAGCTGCTTCCAGCTTTCTGACAACAATTTGGGGAAGGACCTCACCCCCTTTCAGTCCTGCCATGCACAAACAGGGGTCAATAAAGAAATGGTCTCCCTAGGTGTGGAAGACCTTTATTGGCCTGCACAGATCCCTGACCTCAACCCCATCCAACACCTTTGGGATACATTGTGACAGCAACCTCACTAATGTGGATAAATGGGAGCGTGACCCTGCAGCCAGACTGTATATTAACCCATAGCGTCACAATGAGATGTTCAAAATCACACACGTAATGTAATGTATTGTACTGGTGTCCACATACGTTTGGCCACATAGTGTCATAAATGCCTGTGCCCTATAAATACAAGATACCACTGAACTGGCCAAGGCACAGTCTCATCTTCATGTCCAAAATAGTAAAAGATGAAAGAATTGCATTTTAACCGAGTACACTGATCCTACGCATGTGCACACACATAGACATGCATGCGATACACTGCAAAGATAGCACTCACACATGTTGGCAGAATATGGTGACAAAATGGTTAAAGTACGCCACCAACCATGCCACTCTCACACACACCGGCATCACCATCAGCTTGTTAGAAACATCGGTAATAGTTGTGTGTCAACTGTCATCCTAAGTCTGCTTCTTGCATGTAACCTAAAAAGACTTGAAATGCAACTTAAAATGTGGCCAAATTGTAACAAGTGCCGCTCTCAGCAGGCAGCATAAATGCGGAGACACTACAAATGCAATTGCACAGATGTTTCCTTCCCTGCAGCTTCACTTGTCTTCTCTTGTGATTACCTCTGGAATTGGAGATTTATGAAGGGGGAACACAACTGAGGCAGCTTTCCTTGGCCGCCTAATGAATTTTCCATTGTACGCCTTCAAAACCGCTACTCTCCACATGGTTATACCGGCTAGACAGAGAAGACTTTCGGTTACAGCTTAAGGAGTCCCCTCTCTGAAAGAATTATGGCTGATTCTTGTATGCTCGCACATACCATTGATCACTTTGACGTCTGCTTTTTTCACAAAGGCTCTTACCCCTTGAAGCTAATCTGGTTTCAAACTGCAAACCTGCTTGGTCTGAGCGCTTGTCTTCGCACAATAGGGGAGGAATTCCTGTCGCAAGAAGAATATTGAATACAACTTGTATGTGTGCGTGCAAGCATGCGTGACATGAGTTCACACTAATATAAATGAGAGCAGAATCCAAAGAAATCATATTTTGTTTCTGTATAAAAGTGTTTAATGTACTCCAGTATGTACATATCAAATCTACAAAATATGCACGATGTTAAAATACTATCAGCGATTTACCCCTCCCTCACTTTTGTGCCCTTATTATATACAACCCCAGACCATCTTGAACCAACTTTTAAATATGATACAAACAGGATATAGCTAGCATATCACAATGCAGACCGACCAAGCAATTCACACAACATACCAATATCACCAAGTTAAAAGAAAAATCAACAGCAAATGCATGATAAAATATTAATCTGTATATAATTACATTATAACAATGTTTGTGCGAAGCAGTTACCAGCGTAACATGAGGTTAAAGTACAGTACCGTTTGAGACTGACAGCTTAGGACTGGGGTCGTTTTCCATCCCGGTTCAATCAATTAACAATTTACGTTGTGACAGGAACTAATGAGGGAGCATTGATTTACTTCTTCCCCCCATTGCCTACTGATATGGGAGTGAAACGACCCCAGCCTGGATGTAGTCGAGGTCAGGCATGTGTGCTCTTCTACATTTGGTAATGAGAAAAAGACAGAAAGAAAGTGGGTCTGTCCCCACTGCTGAATGTTTTATTAGTGTAATCCCACTTTAATTCACCACCTCTCAACTTCTTTGCTATTGTTAACCAATCACAAAAATCACTGCAAATGCCCAGAAGGCACAACAAAATGACAAAAAGGGTGTGAGAGATCAATTACAGATCAGTAACATTTTCTGTATATGACCGACCCCTTAGGGACAAAGATTTGTTTTGCTTGCACAAAAGCAATTCCTGTCAGGGGATGTGCTCCCCCCAGTGCTTGTAGCAATGTTTTGGCATCATTTTCAAAAGCTTAGTCTAAATGGCACTTCTGCTTCTTTTTTTCTTTTTTTCTTTTACTAATCTGTACGCACAATCGTATAATTGTCCCACTACTTGCACACAAAAAGAAGTCAAAAGACACAAGTTTGAGGTTGAAATAGTGCTGAACACAAATGAATCCTTCCCTGGGGAAGTGCCACAAAATCAACCCACACTTCCTTCAAAGGTAGATTCAACTTTTAAAGGTTGCTGTAGCCTATATACTCCATGCTTTCCCTACAAACGCGGAGATGTTTAGCCTGCTGTCTGCGTAATCTAAATCACTCATGCGTATGAGCTGCTTGTAATGACGACAAAACACCAACTAAGCCTAAATTCTCATGTGACCTTATTCTTAATTTACTGATGACGAGGGTGCAGGCAGATTACAGGATTTTCAGGAACTCTTCTGTCTGAAAACCAATTGCAACCGCAGGGTTCTACGGCTATCAGCCCACATAAGAGGCAACTGTGCAGAAATACTTTCATCAGGCTGACATCTCCATGAGAAGGCACCGTTGGATTGAGGAGGAGGAGGCCGAGAAGGTGAAGCCATGTGGACAGGACTGTTCCTGCTTGTTTCTGTTGAGTTAGATTCGAGGCTTCTCATTTGTCATTGTGCTGGCAACAAAAGTCCCACCGACTGATACGCTTGAGGACAAACGTCCAACAGAGATGTAGACAAAGAGCAAGACAAGGTTAGCTTGCATGGTAAGCGGAAACAATTGTGAGGCTCAACCAGAAAAGGGAACAAGTGGGCTGAAAAAGGTATGACGGGACCGACAACAAGGGCTGCTCCATGTCAAGTGCATCCCTGCATCAGATAGCTGGATGTAGGATGAGGGGGGCTGTCAGACGACCCCACGGTGAGGCTTAGGCTGAGGTGACTCATCCAGCCAGGCGGTCATGAATAAAGGGGGATGCGGTGCGCAGTCTGGCTTTAACAAGCAAGTCAAGGCGGCGGGGGCAGTCGCACGTCGAGCAAGCTGTAGGCAAAGATGTTCCAGAAGACAGCGCAGAGCACGAACAAGGTGTAGACGCACAAGAAGATCCAAAACAGGGACTGCTCCTGAAGCCGCTGCTCGTAGTTCTGCAGGACCACCACACCCAGCGTCAGGCCAACCATCACCCCTCCCAGGTGAGCTACGAAGCTGGGATTGGGGCACGGAGGAAAGGCCGGTGGATAGAACCGCAGCCACACCGCCCGACCAAACTCTACGCTCACTGTGAGCAGACAGAGGGAGGGGAGAGAAAACACAATATTAGCAAGGTCTGCATACGGAGTTACAGACAACTACAACACACTTATGTATGTAATGAAACAATATATTCTATGAGGTAGAGGAATTAGACTTTTATTTTGTTACCAACAACTATAAAGCGCCATTGAGCCAAAGATTTTACAGGTCCCTGTTTGCGTTTCCATGCTGAGCTGCAGTGGAGCGATAATATTAGAAAAAAAGGAATTTTGTACTAAAAAAGGCTCCAATGTATACTTACGAAGATATTTACAAGATTTTTCTCACTCAAACTGCCAAAATCTCATATTAAGTTCAGATAACCTTTTATAATTCATTGGTGTGGGCACGTTAAAGTAGTTCACTTGCTGTCAAACATTGTGTAAATAAACAACCAAGTTTCAAGTCAAAATTGACTTCACTTTGTGCCAAGCTGATTTTTTATTTTTTTTTTAAATCTGTGATCTTGGAGGATATAGCGACATACAAAAGAAAGATAATGATATTCTCCTCTTCACAGACATGTATCCACTACAGGTAAGGACGTAGAATCCCACACTGCCTTGCAAAGCGATTTGCTCGTGTCACATAGAAAATGAATAGGGGCGAGCTTTGCATCACTTTGCTCAGTTAGAAATCCTCCATATGCTAAACACTGCAAAGCCATAAAGTTTAATATTGCTGCCTTTGGAGCAAAATCACATTTCTCAGATAAGGAATCTTTGCTGCAGGATTAAAGTATGTTGATGGAATAGCATAACAAGCAGATTAAAAGTATTTTGTTGAAAAAGTATTCTTAAAATGAGGTGAAAGGTGTGTGTTGCATCTTTATTGAGACTTACTGCAAACCAGAGCCATGGCCATCCGGAATAACTTAAACTGACACTTCATTCCCGACCAATTCTACAGAAAGAGAGAGAAAGAGTGGATGGAGTAATTCAGAAGGTCCCTGTTTTTGAGTTCCGATGATAAAGACAAAACAAACTGTGCTAGAAGGTCAAGTCCTCCTCAGACACACACACACACACACACACACACACACACACACACACACATGCTGTCATGAAATGATATGAGATCTCGCCCAATTCACGTCAACTCTGAAAGCCCCAGAGACACTCTGACCCCCAATCTGTTCCTGCCGTGTTAGATAATGTGATTTCAGCTGAGAGGAGGAAGACAAACTCTTCCATCCTGACTCCAGGAATAATGTGGAGGATCTTGCAGGGTACATAATGAGGACCCTATTACACATAACAGAGGTTCACCTTGAGCGCCTTTTGCCTAATGTGTCTGTGATGACCCACAAGAAGGGGAGTTTTGACTGAGCAGAGCAGATATGTCGAGAGAGTGCAGTGGGATGGGAATTTGTCACATTCACCCGCTCACACACTTTCTGATCTTTGGGGGGGGACTGGAGGTGAGGAATGTATGGCATCTGTAGATAGAGCAGCACCTGCCGGGCCCCAAAACAGGCTGCTCTGACAATGTGGCAATGCTCTGTGTAGTGACAGGACGACTGAGTGATGTGATAATCATCTAACATATAACACGCAGTAAAACTTACCATCACCACATTGGCCAAATGTGCTGAGACCAGAGCGTACACTCCCCCGGATGAGCCGACCACTGGAGCCGTCATGTCGGTGACAGACACCGCCAGAGACCCTGTAGTGGGGATAGAGGAACACGCTTCAGCTAAACAAACAAATGAGGACGTTCTTGTGTCATTCGCATCACAGAAAAAAAAATGTTAATCTATAATCCGTTCAAACTAGGAAATCTTCATTTGATGATGAAGTTGATGTGATGTGAGGAGAGAATGTTTACTCAACTACACCATATGGCCATTTTGGGGATAAATGTATATATATATATAGTTTGTGCAAATGTTATAATGCTATGATGCAAAACAATGTTAAATGATAAAGTGTGTTATTTGTTTATTTGAAATGTGTCTAGTGCTGCAATCTTGAGTCTGTGCTTTCACTGTTCGGGAATATTTTTTCTCTTAGAGGATCATGTTGGCAGATGCTGTGACTAACTGACTAATTTAAGCAGTTTTTTGGTACAAGCTGTGACCATTTGTGCACTGAAAACATCTATTTTGAATGGCATAGAGGCCGCTTTGCGACTGGCTTTTTAATGTGGGTGTATCATAAGCAGGCCTTCGTGAATAGAGACTTGCGCATACTGTACCAGCACACACTGGGATTTTATCCAAGACAAAAAGCATTCATACAAATTGGACTGTCGCAAACAGGGAATTGCTCTGTTGAGCACCTTGGTACCAATTCATCGCGTGCACAAAAGATCCAATCGAGCATTCAATGCGGGGACATTCAGAGACAGAGTCACCACGGGAAATGTGTTCTTACCACAGTGTGTGTACAAGACACAGGATAAAGGAAAGACAGGAGATAGAGATGTGCTTAGTTTTACTATCACAATAAGCAAACACAAACTCTCTTGTTCTCTCTCTCTTTTGCTTATTTTCTTGCTCTCTCCATTGTTCATCCACTCATTTCTCAGTTTGTCTTTTCCTTCCCTTCTCCCCACGGCACTGACCTGTGTACATTTTTGATGCTAATGAGACACGTCTGCCCACGTCCACCCACGTCCATGGTCTTCCCACTTGCTCTCTCTCTCTCTTTCTCAAATACAAATATACTATATTTGCATAACACATAAATGCATGCATGTACACTGTACATTGGAATTAACATATACAGAATTTGGCACCACTGTCATTTGTTGTTTGTTTCAATAGGCAAGCGGCTCCCCAATTTGTCTTTTCTTATTTGCAGTTCTTTGTTATGCTCTGTTTCTGTGGACTCTGAAGATGTTTTTGCTGAATGTAAGATGTAGAATTTAGTTGGGAATGTGAGGTTCCATGTTTTATAGCCTATTATCTCACTACCATATAATAAGGATGACCAAAAGATAATTCTAAATGGTAGTATAGATGTATCTATACTGAATCACCGCCGTGAAGGCTGTGTGGTGTCTTTGGGTTTGATAAGCCTTCAGAAGTGCAGTGAAAATATAAAAAAATGTCTCATGGATAAACCCATCTGAGTTCCAAATCAGTGTGCTGGCGTCCAACCCTGTGATTTGAAATATGCGACATGTGAAATGACAGGACTTTATTTGCCTAATATGTGGCCCTCTCAGGGTGTGTGAACCATAATGGCAGCCCAGCGAGGGGGTGTAATGACAGCATCTGACTCACCAGGTCATTAAACACTGCTGCGTAATAATCGAAGCAGCTAAATGATTACAAACCCCAACCCACACATTAGCTTATACACTGTCTGCCTCTCTCTAACAGGAAAAATGGATTCACGTAAGAATCCTTTTCTCAAATCAAAAAATAAAATAATATTGAGAATTCTGGACAAAAAACTGGTAGCACATTTAATTAATTCTGATTAACTTATTACCATCAATTTATTAGTGTCAATATTAAAATGTAACAGTATCATGCACAGAGATTGCCACTCCCTAGATTACACTATTTAAAGCACTCCACATTGCTTCCTTCCTCTTCAAACACACACACACACACACACACACACACACACACACACACACACACACACACACACACACACACAGGCTTACAGACACTTAAACACCTGGTTCCTGTGTTTAGGAACCAGGTGTAATCTGATAACATTATTTTAGTTTGGTTGGGTCTGCGCACACACACACACACACACACACACACACACACACACACACACACACAAGGACACAGTCTCTCATAGTCCCTCAGGAGACCCCAGGAGGCATGTAGGTTTTAGAGTCAAAAGTGGCACCTCATTTATCTTGGCTGTTCATCCAAACCGTAGACGAAGACCATGAGGGGAAACTGTAACGCACATCAGCACTCATAATTACAAAAAAGTCAACAGTTCGGCTTTGAGTTGAGTTGACTGAATCTACAAAGTCATTGGCCAATAGTTCAGTCTGGGGTTGCTTGAGTTCTCTTTATCGCTTGTTGTTGTACACTTCTCTCTCTCTCTCTCTCTCTCTCTCTCTCTCTCTCTCTCTCTCTCTAGCCAACTGATTTTTGTGACATATTTGAGAGTAAAAATATGAAGGAATTCAAAAACAGTAAATGTCAGTGGAAATTAAATCATTAATTTTCCTATCTATCTATACTGTTTACTATCCAATAAAGTCAAAAATGCCATACAAATTATCATACATAACTGCAGCCATAAAACATATGCCGCAAATATCAGCTTATCACATCCACCCACGTGTTGCTATATGCTGAATATTATTAGAGTAGTGACTTTGGCTAAAGTCCTTCTGCTGACAAAAAAATGGAAAAAAAAGCCAAGTCAGACACAACAAACCCAGCCATCACAGCCAAACACAACCAAAGCGTGCCTCTCCTCTTCCCCTGGCGGTCGATATCTAATTAAAACAGCAGACTTGCGTGTGTTTGTGTGTGCGTGTTGGTCTGTGTGCGTACGTAAGTGTGTGTGTGTGTGTGATTTATGACGCGTTTCCTTCTCATTTCAATTCGAGGTTAATACTACAGGCCACCACAGCTGGTATCCCCAGGGTGTTTGTCACTGACCCCTGCACGTGCACACATACACACACACACACACACACACACACACACACACACACACACACACAAACACAGATGGACACTCAGACATGGAGAGAGAGAAATAGAGACATCATTTTCATGAATATTAAACAAAATCGCACTGGCTGCAATAAATATCCCACAATAATCTCTGCTTTTTCCTGCTCTCACACACACACACACACACACACACACACACACACACCCGCCACAAGGCATCACGTTTCCAAACCTGAAAAACTTTAAACACTCATCTCAAAAAGTAGCTCAATAATTCCACTCCAGTTACCTCGTACCTAAAAGTGTCTCGCCCCTGGGCACCAAAAAAGCAAACAAAAAAATGCCTAAACTGTTTGTTTTGGGGAAGGAAACCAACACATTGTGGAGTGGATGACTTTGTTGATGCAGTAGCTCATGATCACACATGCACACGCACACAGAAATAGCAACTCACGGTTAGGTTAGGCACTGAAAATGCATCAGTGTCTGAGGTTATGAATTCATCTACCCTCCTCCGTCTTCTCTCTCTCTTCACCCCTACCCCACACACTCCCCCTTCCTATTTCATTATTACTGTGTTTATGTTCTTCTGACTGAGCTCCATTTGAGATGACTCTCTCTGCTCGGCCCGATTGTACATGGCCGTAGGGGGACGCGGGGGCTTTGATGGGACACCCCCTGCATCTCAACATGTCTGGTAGGGAAACAGAAACACAAGACCATCTGTCCTCAACATCCCACACACACATACGCTAAATATTCTCATTGACCGGTATCCACC